AAGAACTTAAACAATATTAACCTATGCCTACACAATATTGTTAAAGCACCTCTTTCAGTATGTAATACTAATTAATAAAAAGAGTTGCATTAACAATATTGTGTAGGTATAGGTTAATATTGTTTGATTTTTTTTAACAAAAATTATTTTGGTACCTTTAAAAGTATTTTCTAATGAAGAAAATCCCCACTCGGTTAATATTTGGTTTACTCCTTCATCCATAACGCCCAATGCACAAAAATTAATTAACGCGAACCTGCTTCCTCTACCATTTGCACAAAAATTTTTTGACAGTGACAAATTATTTTTTTATTATTCAATCACTATGACACCAAGACTTAACTTTAACCATGGCACCAAGTCGGTCAACTTTATAAAATAAATTTCAATGTCACATCATGTCAATTTTGGGCGAAAATTGACAACAAAAACATATTTGTTATGTTTACCTAAGGATACCTATTAGCGGCGACGCATATTGTCAGTAGGGTAAACTAATTTGTTCCAACAAATTCATTTTTGTTGCAAATACTAATGTATGTAACACTTTACTTGGGTTAACAAATTTTTTATTAGGACCAACAAAAACAATTGCAACAAAAAATTTATTGGTTGATAAAACAGATTTGTTTTTTCAGTGTATATATAAAAGGAATAAGTATATAATATATAGGTATTTATAAATGATAACATAACCAGGGCCTATTTTACCTAAAGGCCCATAAGGCCCGGGCCTTGGGCCCGGAGGAAAATGGGGCCCGAAAAAAGCCCTTGAAAAAAAATTATAAACCATTTCAATTTAAATTTAAAATAAAGCCATACCTATTTTAAATATTAAATAAAAGTGGCTTAGATTGGTATAATAACGATATTGATATTATACCTATAAGTATAATTTTAGTTAGATTCAAAAACATAAAACATCGGCGGTCTCTTTTACGGCTATAAGTACCGACAAATCTTTTGCTAACGAATTACGAATTACGAATGAAAAAGCTGCCGCTCAACGCAATCTTTATTACCGCCTAGTCCTAGTCGAAAGTATTATTGTGAATTTTATATTTTCTTTTTACAATTGCAATCGTCCGAACTCCGAAATTTAACTTAAGGTAAGTTATAATTATTAATTAATATATTATTTTTGTATATGTTACGGCTAATGTGCAAACTTGGATAGTTTATAAACTAGCCAAACTGTCAGCTATTTTAATTAAAAATGTATTTTCAACTAAATTAGCGGCTAGTTTACAAAATAACCAAGGATCTTGGCTAATTTACTTGAAATTATTAGGGAAACTAAAATAGCTGGATAGTTTGTATACTATCCAATTCAATTTGGCTAATATGAAAACCAAAATTTCTAGTAACACAAAATAGCCAAGCTTTAGCTAGTTTGTAAACTAACCAACTAATTCTCTCAACGCACTGTTGGCATTCCTCAGAAAGGAACCAGAAAATCAATAAGATCTTTAAGAACCACCATCAAAAGATAAGGAAGTAAATGCTTCAACGAACAATATTAGTGATACCATCGAGTTACAAGAACACCAACACGCAGACGATGATGGTAACGTTGTCGTAAGCGATTTATTGGAAATTGACAAAGAAACTTCTCAACAAAGTAAAGCCCCACCATTTCCTTGTGATCTAGCAGACTGGCCTCAAAATATAAGCTCGAAATTTCAAGAATATTTTCTTAAAAACAGACCTGAACAAAATATTGACAAAATAAGTGGGTGTTTAAAACAATTGGATGGTAAAAAATCTAGATGCTTACAAAGTTCAACATTCTATAAAATTAAAGAAAATGGCGAAAAAGCCCTTCGTGAGTGGTTGGTTTACAGTCCCAAATCTGGCTGTGTTTATTGTTATGTTTGCAAACTTTTTTCGAAAAAAGATCTCAAGCTTACTGCCGATGGGTACACTGACTTAAAAAAACACGAAAGGTCATCTGAACACTTAACCTCCATCAGCAAAATAATTAATAGAAGTCGAATAGAGGGAAGGATAGATGCAGAAATCGAAAAAAGTTACTTGCAGGAACAAAACTACTGGAAAAATGTTTTATTAAGAGTGCTTGCTACCATTAAGTTTTTATCAAAAAATGGTTTAGCATTTTATGGTTCCACGACTAAACTTTTTACAAAAGGGAATGTTAACTATTTAGGCTCGTTGGAATTTCTTAGTGAGTTTCACCCGTTTTTGGCCGGACACCTCCAGAAATATGGTAACATTGGAAGTGGGCATATTAATTATCTTTCTTCAACCATTTGCAATAAGTTTATTCACCTTCTTGCAAATGAGGTAAAAAATAATATTATCACAGAATTGCAAGTGGCAAAATACTTTTCCATTATCGTCGATTCAACGACTGATATTTCTCATATCGATCAATTAACTGTCATTATAAGATATGTTTTACCTAATGGTCATCCAGTAGAAAGGTTTTTAGGTTTTGTGGAAATAATTTCTCATACTGCAGAAAGTCTATCAAATGTTTTACAAACCAAATTAAGTGACCTTAATATCAATATCAATTACTGCAGAGGCCAAAGTTATGATAACGCATCAGAATATGTCCGGAAAATATAACGGATTGCAGGCAAAAATAAAAGAAAAGACAAATAATGCACATTTTGTGTCATTCTTTAAACTTGGTCGGTAATAGTGCTGCCGAAAGTTGTTTACAAGCTTCTGGATATTTTGAAAATGTACAATGCTTGTATAACTTTTTTTCGGCTTCGACGCACAGATGGAATGTCTCTCTGTTTTAAAAACTAAATTACCATTGCTTAAGAAAATATGTGATACAAGATGGTCACACGAGCTGATGCTATTAAATCTATTGCGCTTGGTTTTAGTGAAATAAAAAACGCGTTAGTAGAGCTAAATGAAGATGCAAACCAAAAAAACTCTACCAGAACAGAAGCTGGAGATTTACTTAACAAAAAATTAAATACATTTGAATTTGCTTTGATGACCTCAATTTGGAAAAGAATCCTAGACAGAATAAACTCCACAAGTAAATCTCTACAAAATAATCAAGCCAATCTAACTGCGACCTGTACACTTTATAGCGGATTGATCGAATTTGTCGAGAGTTTTAGAGAACAGTTTGATGAAATTGAAGAGGAATCCAAAAAAATTCAGCCAAATAATAATGCTTGTAAGGATGAAATTTCAAGAGTTCGTAAGAGGAACAAGTTCTTTGATGAAGGCCCTGCACAAGACATTACTTTAAGCGGTGCTGAAAACTTTAAAATAAATAGTTTTTTTCCTATATGTGACAAATTGATTTTTGAATTAAAAATGAGAATGCAAGCGTATGATTGTGTAAACGAAATTTTTGGTGTATTTTTTGTTGAACCCTCAAATGAAAGATTTAATGTAAGTATAAAAAATATAAAAAAAATATTACAATATGGATGTGGATGCTACTGAAGATTTAGTGGATGAAATTATACAATTTAAAGCACTTTGTAAATCAAATGATATTTCCTCTAAAGACCCACAGGAAATGTTAAAATTTTTAATTGATAACAATATTTTGTCAACCTTCTCTAACGTTGAGGTATTGTTCCGTATATATTTAACTATTCCTTAACTATAACGCATCTGGAGAGAGATCATTTTCTACGTTAAAACGGGTAAAAACCTATCTAAGAAACTCATTAAACGAAAAAAATGTTTCATCGTTGGCTATTCTAAACGTAGAAAGCGATGTTCTAGATAAATTAGAAATAAATGGTATCATAGATAAGTTTTCGGAAATGAAAATACGTAAAAAAAAATTAATTAGTTGTTTATTTTTATTAATTATTATTTATTTTGTTCGCTGTTCCTTAGAAGCTGAGTTTTTTTTTATTTTTTTTGTTGTGTTATTAATTTCAGTTAGAAATTTTGTTTAAGTATCGTTTAAATATATTTTTAGTTGTTTGTACCTACTAAATAATTAATAATGTATGTTTTTTTTAAATAAATATTTATTTATTTTTTTAGATTTATTATTAGAACAATTTTTTAATTGATTAAGTAAAAATTAATTTTTTTTATCATAAACCTGAAGGTGTCAAAGGTAAGTAGAAACATTCTTATTGAAAAGTTATATAGGATATTGATATGGGGGGCGAAGTTTTGCTTGGGCCTTGGGGCCCCACTAAGTCAAAAATAGGCCCTGAACATAACGCAAAAATTGTGTTATAATTGGAAATGTAAATCAAGTTTCTAATAGAAATTTTTTATCAGCCGTTAAAAAGTTAATAAATACTGTTGGAATAAACTTTTGTTTAAACGTTGATTAAATGCATAACATAACTTTATGCGTATTTTCAATAATAACGCTAGTTATGCACACAGAATAATGCAATAATAATCCAACGTTAAACAGTACAAAATAATGTTAATATTGAACAAATATAAATTTACACATGTGCAATTGCAATTAAGATAGTCACATAAGGCTTTTATTATATCCCTCTAAATGACCAAATATTGAGATACAGTCGGAGATACCTATAGCAGGATTTTTGTGCTTGGTTGTCTGGGTAGGTATATAATTATATAATTATAATTTATAAATTATAATAATTAATAATTATAATTTATAAATTATAATATTATAATATTATATATTGTTTATATTGGTATTTTTGATATGATGATTATATTATAATTACTTAAGTAAGAAAATAGAAAAATGCAAATAAATAATGTTTTCACTAGTTCATTAAATATACCTACATCAATATTATTTTTATTATTATTATTTTTTTGTTATTTCATTAAGTTCACTGGCACCATAACCGGAAAGGGGAAATCCTTATGGACACCCTAATATAACGCTGGGTAGTGCCGGAGTTTTATCGGCTAAAAACCTTTTATTATAATTGTTATTATTATTATTAAATAATGGTGCATTAGTAGATATTTACAATAATTTAACATACTTTGCAGGTACCTATGAATGGGGTAGTCTAAAATGTTATCAATAATAAACTCACCACAATAGGGTTGCCTTTTTATAACTTTTAATAGTAGAATTTAATTTTTATTATTAATTAAATTAAATACAATTTAACACTTTTTTATGATCTGCATTTTTTATATTTATAAACACATATTTATTTATTTATAATTTGTATAAAAAATTTAGGTATATTTTAGAACAACAAACAGTGGGTTTAGCTGTTCACACAATAAGAACATCTTTGCGCATGCCCTATATAATAAATGTGTAATATAGTCAACGAGATAGTTAGAGAGCATGTGGTCGATTTATTTTAAGCAATTATTTTAAGTATTTCGTTTTAATTCTAAGGCGAGAAACATTAATTTTCTCTGAATTATTATTGCCTAAATATTGTAATAGCTCCAAAATATATTTGTGTGCTTCTAATACCTTAAACACGGATGGTTTTGCACCCTGCGGGTGACTTTAACCCTTTTATGAAAAATCTTTTCGCGTTCGATAAAATTAACATTTATAATTTTTTGGTCTAAACCTGTCAATTGAGCGATTCTATTGAGTTTATATTACAGGAAAAACAGTGTTTTAAAGAAATAAATGGGATTTATTACACTTTAAAATTGTGTATATCAGTGCAAAACTCTTAGAAATACACTCGTTACAATTTCTATATTATGCGCAATCCTTTGGAATGATGATCCTTGGTTAATTACAGGTCGTTTTTTTATTTTTTTTTATCGGTAATCCCTTGCAATAGCTGGGTATATGTCGCGGCTAACATGTGTCTAATAAAAATAAAATAAAATATTGAGTTAATTTTATACGGAAAATACACTGAGACAAAGTTACCCGCAATCAGGGGGTAACTTTGCACACCCAGTTTTTAATTTTTATTTTTGAAACTCAGCCCTAATATTAAAACATAGTTATTATGAAAGAGCAACTCAAGACTCAAATTTTGGTATACAATATTTAATGTTTATGATTGTTAAAACCACAATCATTTTATGCTTAAGTTTGAAAGTGAGCTAAAGCCACCCGTGTTTACGGTATAACATTTTAAATTTAAATTTTCTAAATACATTTTATTAACCTGCTAATTCAGAAATTAATGCAAATTTAAGATATAATGTATTATACATCAATATTTAGAAAGGTAAATAGGTAAATAAAAAATAAAACAAAACAAAACCTGTTATTGTAGAATTGCAAATGTGTTTATTGAGGCGCTTCTTGCAAAAACAGCCATATATGGCTATAGTCCAAATCAGGGCAGTGCGGTAGATTTTTTCAGTATGATGCAAGTTTTTAAAATGCCGCCCTTAACGGCCGCCATTGAAATGTTTTCTCTTTAATAACCTTCGATTGGGATTTCCAAGAAAACTGCACAAAATGTTTAAAAACTATTTTTATTAAAAAAAAACATAAATATAAGCTACCTTTAACAATAATATTAAATGTCGTCTAAAACAGGACTTTACTATAATTTTATCCTTCTAACTTTTATTTTAGCAAATTCATTAATTAAAAATTTGTAATCTAGAGTGACAGCTAATGTAGATTCAATAGATATTAATAATTATTATTATAATAGATTTCTAAGTTTTGTTTGGCTTTTAGAATTTCTTAAGTAGTTTATTAATTAATTATTATTATTATAATAGATTTCTATGTTTTGTTTGGGTTTTAAAATTTCTTTAAGTAGTTTTTTATTAGTACTTAGCACTTGGTGTTTTTTTGTTATTACTTCCCAACGTTTTGTAGAGCCAGAAAAAATAAGTTCTTGTACTTCTTCTTTGATATGCGGGGAAGGCGGCTTTTTACGAGTCAATCTTACTGAATGCCTAAGTTAATACCGGAATAACACAGACTAACCAAAAAAATCAATAAATATTAATAATAGATTTCTAAGTTTTGTTTGGCTTTTAGAATTTCTTAAGTAGTTTTATTAGTACTTAGCACTTGGTGGTTTTTTTGTTAGTACTTCCCAACGTTTTATAGAGCCAGAAAAAATAAGTTCTTGTACTTCTTCTTTGATATGCGGGGAAGGCGGCTTTTTACGAGTCAATCTTACTGAATGCCTATGTTAATACCGGACACAGACTAATCTAAAAAAGTGTCACAAGGGTCGCATACAGATTTTATATTATTGAAAAATCTAAATTTTATCTATATTTTTTTATGTTGCTGCTAATGCAGCACAAGTCTATCTTTATAAGTTTTATAATAAGATTGTTTTAAATAAAACATATTTAGCCAGACAATTTTAGACTATGGCTGTTTTGATAGAAAGATCGATTTTTTATATATAGACATACCTATATATAATATGTATACATAAAATGTACCTATATTATACAAAAGTATACAAAATACTAAATAAAAATATCATGAATTCCACGTAACAATTGGCACTTTTTGAGAAATTGTTATTTAGATACAAAAACTATTAATTGACAACGCATGCGTGTTTGCAAGCACTCATTTTGGCTTTCATACGTTTTCTTTGTTTTGGTTTGGTCCCTGTTCATCAAAAATTAAACAAAAAAATCGATATAAACTTTAAGATACAGCCTCTTAAAGGGGCACAACTGAATATGATTTTTATTTTTATTTTCGAAACAGTTCGAGATAAAATAATGAAAATTTGTTTGCTTTGTAAGGTACACTATGTATTTTCGTAACCCGATTCTTTAAGTATACTGAAATACTTATTTTGGCATATTCGTGATCTTCTAGCAAATTTACTAAATTTATAAAAATTAGGACTCTACGTTGTGTTTTTACGTACATTGATAATAACGTTATTTTGAAATTGGTCAGGTTTAATGAAACAAGTATTTAATTTTAAACCCCTGATTTAATTTAAGCAAAGACAAGGGGTGGCCCGTTGAGTCAGAGCACAGGAAAAAGGGACCATAAAAACCCTGGCGACTTACACATTTCAAATAAAAATAAAATACAAAACAAAACATAGCCATATGGGTGATAATCACAAGAGTACCTACTATATAAATAATAAGTGAATATAATAACATGAAAAGCAGATAAACATGTTTGGGTGTTTTTATAAATATTCAAAACATTTTATACTCAGGTAAAGTATACACGGTGCTGTTCTGAGAGGTGATTTTTGGACTTTCTGTGAAACCTAATTTTTTTATATTCTTGTTAATTAGGTCATAACTAAAATTTTAAGAGCAAAATAAAAAAAATTTGACGGTTAATTTTGTTTTAATTGGATGTTTATTAAAAATATGTATGCACACTTTCAATTCTCCAATTAAAACTTGCGATTTTATTTAAATATTATCATAACTTTTTAAATCAGATTAAAGATTAGTTAATTTCCTAAAAAAAGGTCTATACATTTTTTATATCTTTAACTGTTTTGTTGTAATACACGTTTAAAGTTTTAATTTAAGGTTAAATGTATAGTATACATTTATTAAACAATAATTCTAAGGGTGCTACATTTTATTTAGGGCCGATTTATTCATTTTTGATTTATTTGACGAATAATTTCTTTGAATACTGGATATTGCCAAGACATGAAAGTTATCGGCCCTATAAACTTTACTAAAGATAAATAAATAACTATAGTTAAATTATTTTGCTAAAATAATTGTTTTATTTTTAGTATTAGTCCTTAGTTAAATCATTTTGCTTAAATAATTGATTTATTTTTAATATTTTTAATTTTACCCATAAATATTTAAATTAAAACTAGGTACCCTTAAAAACAAACTTTTAATAATCAAACATATTAAATTACAAATGCAATGTATTGTATTGCATAATTGCATTAACTAAACGTTTTGGGTATTCTGGGTGATCTTTACCCAACTTGTAACGTGCCCAAAAAGTTTTCCAATCTGCATGGGCAGCTTCAAATGCCTGTTCGAAATAAATTCCCAAACCTTCTTCATACCTTACAAATTCAGGCACATGATAAATAATCGCATGTATCTTGGGTTACTCCGATTTGTAGGTCTTCAAAATCTTTCATAAATTTGTTTATTTGGTCTAAATAACTTTTTTTTTACCAAAACACAAGTCCACAACCCTTTTTAAACTTGCAAAACATTGAATGAATTTTAAAGATTCCAGAGTAGAAATGTTTCTCAGGTAGTCAATTCTTTTTAACAATTTAAGACTCTCATTGCCATTAAAACACCATCCAGAGCCTTTAGTAAATTTTTTTTGGAGATTGCATTTTTTAAGCCATATATCTACGATGATGGGAAATTTTTTTTAAAAGATGCAGTTCGGGAGGCACGACTATAACATTTTTCTCATTTTCAATAATTGGTAAATTGAAACAGTTTTCGTCTAAACTTAATTGTGTTTTATTGCCATTTTCTTTACGTAACCAATTTAAATAATTTTCTTTAATAATTTTCAATGTTCTGGGATCTCCGTTTTCTATTAAATTATTTTTGTTGGCATTGCACCATGTGCAGGGATGGGTAGATCTATGTGGTTGTAGGCCATATAATATATTAAGAATTTTTAAATCGCAGGATAAGAAAAAAATATCCTTCAAAGAATTTAAATTCAAAATGTTCCAAATCATTTTTAAATTGTAATAATTTTCTTCTACTGCAGAAGCTATGGCTATTATAAAAAGCTTTTTAACACCTGTTTCTAAAAATTGTTTTTTTTTTTCATTTGTATCTTTATTTTTAATGCAATACAGGGAAATACTAAACTTTAAGAATCCCTGGCCCCCATCTATTCCTAATTTAATATTGAAAGGTGTAACATAATTTCTATATTTTGCAGTAAAATTTATAAACTCTTGAACATCTGTGCAATACACTAAACTTCTTTTTTTCCATAAACTTTCATTGGTTTCTCTTATTGTTGTTAATAATTTTTCTAATTGTCTATTACTTAAATTTAACCGAGTCTGTATCCTTAAATAGTCTTTTTTTAAAGATTTAGATTTTTCTGGTTCTTATTATAATTTGGCCAATATTATGTCTTAATTCATGTAGTGTATAAACTGTATAATTAAAAAAAGATATATTTACATCCTCTCCTTTTTTTCTTATATAAAATATTTTTAAAGTTGGAACAAAGTGATTTTGGAAATTTTTTTTTAATTTCTTTCTTTAAAATCGAATAAAGCGTCGCTGGGATTAATATTAGACTTGAATTTTTTTTAAAACAAACAAATTTCGATTTTTTTCATGAATTTCTTCGTAACTTTTACT